GCTTGCAATGTTCGCCGGCGACAAGGAATCCAGAAGATTTAGAGCCAATCGATCAAGCCATGGAACGAAGTTTGACGAGCCCTGACCACCTTGTTGGAGGCCAGGAAATGCAATGGGGTGGAGACGCGAGGGTAGTAGCGCGCACGAATCAACAGAATCATTCTGTGGAACATGTTCGGGCAGCAGGGAATCAGCAGGAGCGACTGTTTGCAAATCTAACAAGCGGCATCAAGAGGTATGCAACAATATCAAATTCCTAACACTGTTATTTCATCTTGATTTATTCCACTAGTAAATCAGCAGAGTCGATCTTATTTGCTGGAGCGAGGGAGAAGTAAAGGGACTGTAACGGTCACGACCTATACTTTAGCTGACGAACATTATTTGAAACACTGCAGGAAGAGGGGGAAACATGGACCTGACTCACGCTTAGCTCCAGTAGAAGAGAGCGCCATCAACCGAGCGCTAAAAACTGCCCGGGACCGTCCAGGTGAGCCAATTTTCCAACCTTACGAGGGATTGACATTTAACTCATGTCAAGAGGCAAAAGAATTCTACAACCTATACTCTTGGGAGGTTGGCTTCGGAATTAGGATTGGAAGAAGCAGAATAAACAACAACAAGTATAGGACTAGGCAAGACCTTGTGTGCTCATGTGAGGTACGTGTGCTAAGATAGAATAGTAACAGTAAGTATTCTTCACAAAAAGGAGCAATCTATGACAAAACTTGAATTACAGGGGTGGTGCAGGAACAAGAGAGCAGCGACATGCAGAACAGCGTGCAGGGCAATGGTGAGGCTTCTCCGAACTAGCGACCATGGGTGGTACATAAGCCGTGTCGACAACCACCACAACCATCCGTGTTCACAAACATATGGGGAGAACAAGCAATGGCCATCACACAGTGAAATAGATCCAATGACAAAAGAATTCATTCGGAAGTTGCGAGAGAACAACGTACCAATAGGGCGTGTGTGCAGCATCCTCGGTGTGCATGGTAACCAATCAGGGGTACCGATCAGGAAAGAGACAGTAAGATCTCTGTGCGCAAGGTTTTTTTCCTCAAAGGTGCCATTGGCACGGTATTCATTAAGCAGAAGGAGAGTTTTACAAATTAAAGCTGGGACGGTAATTTGTGATTACCGAGCCAAACACTGACAGGGATCACACAGTTGTGATTTACAAAAGAAAATACTTAGCGACCAAGAGAATGATCAAGCATCGGGACCAAACCCAGCGGGCCCTGCACTCAGCGGCTAGAGGTTGGCACAGGAGAACATAACTGATGACATAGGAAAAACGATGCAATTGCTAGAGCTGATGAGAACCCAAGATCCAGGGATGGAGGTAAGGTTTGTCATTGATGAGGAAGGAAGGATTAAATCAATGTTGTGGTGCACCGGAAAAAATAGAAGTGACTATGCACAGTTTGGTGATGTGGTTACTTTTGACACCACATATCGTACAAATCTTTATAACCTTCCGTTTGGTCTGTTCGTTGGTGTTAATAACCATTTTCAGTCAATTATATTTGGTGGTGTCTTGCTGACATCAGAGAAGACAGTGGACTTCGAGTATGGAACATACTAAGGTATCATATCTTGATTCTCTGCAATTCGGGTTCAACCCGAAGAAGCTCTCTTCAAAACATATCTTTCGGCCTCACAACTGGACAAGCCTAAGTATCTAGCTTTGCTCACCTTGTTGAAACTAGCCCCGTTGCAATAGAGAAATCCTTTCCCGTTGAGAATGAACAGCTTTACCAAGGCATTCCACTGTCTTTGCTGGAACTGCTGTCCTTGTTGGCCCACAGTTAGCCTCCCGACCACCGAGATGATCTCCAGACCACTCCGTTGGTCTCACAGGATCACCGGCTCACGACAGTGAACCACTCCAGCCGATCTTGCCGACCACCGGCTCAGGCGAGTGGAGCATTTGTCGGTCTCGCCGAGCACGCGCTAGTGTTGCCGAGCACCCACTAGCCGTGCAGACCACGTACCGGCGTTGTCCGTACCCACACACTACGGATCGAGCTAGAAGAGGAAGGGAGAACAGAGCAAGCACGCACAATACAAGGCAACAGCGTTGGCCGAAGCCCTGTCTGTGTGATGGCAAATCTGAGCTCTCTTTACTGAGTTGCCATACATGTCTATTTATACAACTCTAACTATCTAGTCCATGTGCAGCGCCCATGCTGGCACAGTAACTAGATAACCTGACAGGGCTGACTCTGCGCCGGTCACTGCCTGTTCCTACAGTGCTGTAGGTGAGCCGTGCGGCGCCTGCACCTACAGCGGCTACTGTATCACAGCAGGGGGCAAAGTCGGCGCCGCCTTCCCTTGCTGTGTTCACACACAGCAGGCAGCTAAGTCGGCGCCGTCTTCCTCTGCTGTGTTCTCACAAGATGACAGTAGATTAGCTAACAGTCCTCACTGAACTAACTGCCCGTTTCACTTGTCCCGTAGCTGGCTTGGAATAAGAAAAGTCTTTACTTCCTTCCCCGTGAGCTAGAAGGAAGAGAGAAGCTGTGGCTGGCTTTGTTCACTCGGCTGGCTGGTCTATTTATTGCTGGGCATTCAGTATGTTCTCAGAAATAATGGGGGGCAAGGAACCACAAACAATGCTTACAGGTAACTCGAAGCATATATATTTTAATATCATAATATTGTACATAAAGATTAATCATAGGGCAAATAAAGATGCATTTTGTAATTTGTGTGCCTTGCTAACAGACCAATGCCAAGCAATGGTAGCAGCCATAAAGAGTACCCTAAAGAACACAAAGCATCGTTGGTGCCATTGGCATGTGCTCGGAAAAACGAAGCAGAAGGTGGGCAATGCATACAGCAAACATAGTGGTTTCAAAAAGGAATTTAATAAACTGGTGGTGGAAGAGACCTCAATCCAAAGATTCGAGAGAAAGTGGAGGCAGCTGACAAGGAAGTATAACCTTGAGAAGAACAAGTTCATGAAGAGATTGTACAAGCACGGGGCGATGTGGGCTAAACCTTACTTCATGGACATCTTCTGTGCAGGTATGACTATCACTCAAAGAAGCGAGAGTGCTAACCACATGCTTAAGCAATTCATTCAAAGGTCTGCACCGATGCACATGTTTGTGCGGAAGTTTAGTGAGTTTTAGAGCGACAGGAACGACCAGGAAGACAAGGAGATACATTTAACAAAGCAGGTGTGTTATTAGTGTAGAATAAATTCATCAGTACATGTCATGATATTATACAAGTGAACAAATTTGTCATTCATTGTCATATGTCTGTGGTTGCAGATGCGTAGGAAGAGACGAGTAGGTGTGCCAATCGAGAGGCACGCAGAGACAATATATACTCGAAGAATGTATGAAAGGTTCTGCCAGGAACTATATGAATCAGGAGGATTCTTAATAAAGAGAAGACATGACACTGGGTTGTTTGAAGTCTCTCATGTAATGGATGATGACAATCCAGATGGAAGTCGCTACCGAGTAAATTATGATGGAGGGGACAAAATCTCATGTGAGTGTGGACTATACGAGCACATGGGAATGTTGTGTAGTCACTCTCTTAAGGTAGGCATGTTGCACTTCAGTGTGCTAAATTTGAAGTAAGCTTTTCTCCGCATTCAAAAAAAAGTATGTTTTAAACTTGATCCATCTGTAAATACAGATACTTGTGAACCTAGACGTAAAAGAGATACCCCGTGGAAACATAATGGCGAGGTGAACAAAGACTCAAGGAGACCATGGATTCCAAAGTGGAGGGTCGAAGTATGATTGTGCAACCAATGATACCACGGCCTACGTCAAGAAGAGGCGTGCTGATAAAGAGAATGTTGGAGGTGACTAATCAAACCAATGGTATAACTGATGAAGCCTTTGCAGATGCGATGGAAGCAATAGAATCAATGGTACCAAAGTCTGAAACACCACAACCTAAAGAGCATGCAACCATGAAGGGAAGTGGAAATAGTTGCAGTTCTATGAAATGCCCACGTAGGCCAACAAAGATGGGCAGACCTCCAAATACAAGCCTGCGCTCTTGAAAACAAGAGCAGAAAAGGAAGCAAAAGGAGTATACAGATGAAGAGAACCCAAAAGGAGCCAAGACAAGGCCGGTAAATGAGGTCATGGGATTGTAGAATGAAGCCATGCAGCTGTGTCTAGTATGCAGAAGAAAAGAGATGTATGAAATAATTTGAATTGGGACACAACCCTAATTTGATGTGTCTGGGACTTGGGTATCGTTAGAAGCATTAGCCTTCATGTTACTATATTTCTAGCCGGAATGAATTCACCTATATTTAGTTTGATGAAATCGGTGATCCCCATAGGGCAACAATGTCATCTCATCTTCTGCATTGAAGAACGAACAGTGACGTAATATTCTGTGCGGTTCAATGCATGTTTTTAACTTACAGAGTACAGTAGCTGTAACAACATAAACATGTGAATAAAAGTACAAACCAACACTGGTAGTTGCTAGGACGTATGGCGTAGGAGTAACTCTTAATTTAGCTTTGCACATAGAGCAGGAACGCTCCAAGTTCTTACACCAATGGTTTGAATAAGTCACAGTAATAACAGCTTTACTGCCTTCAATTGTTTTTTTTAAGTAATAGCAGGAGTTCTGCCTTTTAATTAAGAAGAATAGAATTGGCTTAGTTTATAAGGGAAACCAGACCTGAAAACCTTATATAGGCACAAATTAAAACACAGAAAATACCCACGACACCAGAACATCATAGCCTTAACGACTAACACACAGAGGTAACACAAATGCCAATGACGCCCACCGCGTGTCCTTAGTGCCGAACTGACCACAAGCAGCAAAAAGTAGCTCCGGCTTCCCATGGTGAACAACAGCCAAACGCTTTGACCTCCTCCCATAATCCGGTATCTTCGACAAGATCATGTACCGAGTCTCACCTTGCACCGTCATTTAGTGCCCTATATAGCAGCTTGGCCTGGCATGGCATGAACGAGCCCTCAAGCAACAAGGAAGCATTACGTGGCAATCTGCCCCAGCATGGCTGGTCCATTAAGGCCACTGAGTGCCACCAGCGCCTTGATGACAAAGTCGGACATCAGACCTTTGAAGAGGTTGAGGTAGCGCAGCAAGGTCATCTCCATGGTTTCGCCTTCTTCCTGTGTGACGCCCAGCCGCTTTATGAGCACTTGCCTTGCTTTGCTCTGCGCGTCACCACACGGCCAAGCAATGGCTGCTAGGCGCGCACTGCGCCGGGATGGCTTGCTCGGCCTATTCTCTTCCTTCCATGGCTTCACTAGGCCATGTTGTTGTGGAGAAAGCAGGGGTTGTTGGATAGACTTGGTTATTGACTGGATGAAGTTTGCCAGCGCTACCTCACGTGTAGTCTGGCCATCATCCTCTAGCAAAGGTGGCGAAGTGTGTCCCTGTCCTACAATGTACATGCAAGGGTCGGCACTAGAAGTAGCTCCAAAGTCACGACGGGGGCGTGCGGACTCGCAGCGTGGACGCCTGGTGCACACGCAGCCCAGACGAAAACGACACCTCCTCGACCTGAACCCCGTCGTCCCCTCCAAGGTCACCTTTGCCAGTGTATCCTCGAGTTGATGGCTTGTTAGCGCACTAGACGACACATCGATCTCCAGTGTGGGGGTGGTAAACTCAACAGTCTCTAACCTTAGCATTTGAGCAGACGAACCTGTTGTCTGCTTCTCTAGTTGTATAACAAGACATGAGGGCTCAACATTTGTTGAGGTCGGGGAGAGTAGAAGTGGGTTTGATTCCCCACCGGCAGCATGGGTAGGTGAGCAACATGAAACATAATTCAATGGGGGTTCCTTAGCTGCGGCAATCTCTAGTTGGAGAAGGGCATCTTCGACATCTTGGATTGTACCTCCGATATTGCTGACCTGTTAAACGAAGAAGAATTGATCTCGTTGGATGTTGTCGCCATTTTCACTGGGGAGCCGCTAGGGGCAATCTCCTTGGGCCTATGAAGTTGGTCTCCCCAGCTCCTTGGTTCCTAGCACGGTGAAGTGGCCACCACAGCTGTTGTCGCCTGGTTCACGCCTGACCAATCTTGATTCAACATCGAAGCTATCTTCAGCTTTTCTTACACGCCAGGTATCTGAAGCATAAGATTTTCCACAAGCTTCATCCATTTTTCGTTGGAATCTTGCAACTTTTGCAGCCGTGCACTGAGCAACAGGGAGAACTCACTACACAAGCTTTGTATCTCTGCGTCAAACATCTTCTTGATTTCGTGCTAAAAATAGTGCACATATTCGGTGAAGAAATGCTGAGCTGCAGGATCATCGCTCCTTAGGTGCAGACGCTCAGTGCGACAATCATTCTGGTGACCTTGTGATTGTTCCTACCGTGGAAGACGTTGCGGCAGAGGTGGGCGACAAGGCATGGCTGATTGATGGGGATGTTGGTGATGCTGACGACAATCCCACTCACGATGGCCCGAGCGGCGGCACCGGAAGCAGGTGATGGGATCTCGACAATCTGCAGCCCAGTGGCCCCGTGCAAGGCAAATGAAGCCGCGGCCTTCAATGATCTTCCGAATGCGGGGAGAGAGACGAGTCATGCTCCCATCATTGCTACTGGGATGGGTTGGCGAGTGGTGCAGCTCCTCCCGTGGATACTCAACCTTTCTCCACAAGGTGTTCCAGGATGAATCAATGCTTGAAGTAGCAGAGCACAAAGGGCTGTCAGCGAAACGAACTCTAAGACCTGCACAACGGCGAGGAACTTCACAACGAGCAGGATCTATGATAATTGATTAAGTTTGTGGTCCTGCGGCTGTTGGTGATGATTTTTGCCCAACTAAGAATGCTTCACGATATCGGCGTAGGTACGACTTGTCTTGGGCTCTAACTCGGGCGTTGGCGGCACTACCATGTCATCGTCAGGCTGTGGCTGACGTTGATTGAGCGGAGGCGGCGACGGCGGTGTGTCCACGGAGTTGTGTAGATCATCTGTCGATGAGTTGGGAATGGAACGCCCGTTGTTGGAGTTGCAGCGGCTGGGAGGTGACTGCTCCAACAGTGGTGCGGAGAGAGGCGGCGATGATCAATGCGCCCGGGATCCACCAGGACGAGGAAGCGGTCGTGGTGAGTCCACCAACAGGACCTCATCCACATCCTCATCGTCGGAATCGATGTAGTTGAACGTGGAGACGGAGGCTTCCGGCAGCGGTGGCTCGGGCATGACGGGGATGTAGGCTTGAGCGACGCGATCTTCATCTATGTTCTTGGGCTTGGCGGCGAGCTTGGTGGCCATGGCCATCATCGGCATGGCAGCGACCTTGCCAGGGTTGTGAAAGGTCCTAATGGCTAGAGGGGGGTGAATAGCCTAATAAAAATTACTACAACAACACTTAGCAAACCGGTTAGACAATTATGAGACGAAGCAAGTGTTGCGCTAGCCTACTAAAAAGGCAAGCCACCTACCACAATTCTAGTTTATATAGTATGTATCCACACAATAGCTATGTCACTACACTAAGTTAGTGTGCTCTCAAAAGCTAACTAAAGAGCCACACTAACCAAACTAACAAGCTCTCACAACTAGTTACACTAAAGAGCTTGACAACTAGTTTGCGGTAATGTAAAGAGTAGGCAAGAAGGTTATACCGCCGTGTAGATGTATGAACCAATCAATCACAAGTGTGGATAACAATGAAGACCAATCACCTTGGAATCAATGATGAACACAATGATTTTTTTACCGAGGTTCACTTGCTTGCCAGCAAGCTAGTCCTCGTTGTGACGATTTACTCACTTGGAGGTTCACACGCTAATTGGCTTCACACGCCAAACCCTCAATAGGGTGCCGCACAACCAACACAAGATGAGGATCACACAAGCCACGAGCAATCCACTAGAGTACCTTTTTGGCGCTCCGCCGAGGAAAGGTCAAGAACCCCTCACAATCACCACGACCGGAGCCGGAGACAATCACCACCCTCCGCTCGACGATCCTCGCTGCTCCAAGCCGTCTAGGTGGCGGCAACCACCAAGAGTAACAAGCGAATCCTGCAGCGAAACACGAACACCAAGTGCCTCTAGATGCAAACACTCAAGCAATGCACTTGGATTCTCTCCCAATCTCACAAAGATGATGAATCAATGATGGAGATGAGTGGGAGGGCTTTGGCTAAGCTCACAAGGTTGCTATGTCAATGCAAATGGCCAAGACGGTGAGCTTGAGCCGGCCATGGGGCTTAAATAGAAGCCCCCATGAAATAGAGCTGTTGTACCCCTTCACTGGGTACAGCGTGGGGTGACCGGATGCTCCGGTCATACTGATCGGACTCAGGACTCAGCGTCCGGTCACTCAATGTCAGCCACGTGTCACTCTGCTTTCAACAGGAGTCGTCTAATCTCAACGGTCATCTGTTGACCGGACGCTCCGCTATAACTGACCGGACTCTGAGCCTCCAGCGTCCGGTCGCTTCCAGTAAGGTTCCATAAATGAATTTCTTCGACCGGACATGTCCGGTCATGCTTGACTGGACCCTGCCAGCGTCCGATCACACTATGACTTCTTATTGTGCCGCCCGACAACACAACCGGTCCTAGACCCTTAGCGTCCGGTCTATCCATGACCCAGCGTCCGGTCATTCACCGATGCTAGCGTCTTCACTGCCATAAATGGCCGGACGCGCCGGTCCCCCAGACATCCAGTGTCCGGTCACTGTATAGCCAGCGACACTAACTCCTTTTCACCTCTAACTTCTTCACCCTTGCTCAAATGTGCCAACCACCAAGTGTATCACCTTGTGCACATGTGTTAGCATATTTTCACAAACATTTTCAAGGGTGTTAGCACTCCACTAGATCCTAAATGCATATGAAATGACTTAGAACATCTAGTGGCACTTTGATAACCGCATTCCGATACAAGTTTCACCCCTCTTAATAGTACGGCTATCAAACCTAAATGTGATCACACTCTCTAAGTGTCTTGATCACCAAAACAAAATAGCTCCTATGTTTTATACCTTTGCCTTGAGCTTTTTGTTTTTCTCTTTCTTCTATTCCAAGTCCGAGCACTTGATCATCACCATGGCATCATCTTCATCATGTAATGATCTTCATTTGCTTCACCACTTGGAGTGTGCTACCTATCTCATGATCACTTGATAAACTAGGTTAGCACTTAGGGTTTCATCAATTCTCCAAAACCAAACTAGAGCTTTCAATCTCCCCTTTTTGGTAATTGATTACAACCCTTATACAAAGATATGAATTAAAATTCAATTGAGTTCATGTTGCTTGTCCAAGCATATTTACTATGTGTAAAAGGATATGGACAAGTTTCATGAACTCCATATGGTAGCAATTGCTCCCCCTACATATGTGCTAAGAGTTTGGATTGTTGCTTGCACATATGATTAGATAGGAAATATAGGAGACAATGTCTACCAAATGATGCTAAGGTATAAAAGATGGACCTTTGAAGCGTGATACCAATCGGAGTGCACCATTATACCATCCTTAGCACCATGGTTAGCTAGATACCACTTAAAAAATACTTCGAAGGGATAGCTAGATACCACTTGTAAAAACTTTGTAAAAGATATTACTTGAAAATCTATTTAGAATAGATATCACTTGATAATACTTGGAAATGATATCACTTGTGAATAAACCTATGCATGCTAGATTTTCATTTCATCATTCAAGTCTACAACTATCATTCATCACACAAGCATGGATATTTAAATAAAAACTTGTGTTGTGCAAGCAAACATATGAAATGCACATTCAACTGCATCATACAAGTTCATGAGCTTGCTCCCCCTACTTGTGTGCTTGCTCCCCCTACTTGTGTGCTTAAGATTTTTAATTGATCCCTTTCCTTTGTCATATTACTCCTCCTATGTCAAGTTCTCCCCATATATTAAGATCACTACTATTTCTCTCCCCCTTTTTCACTATCTTTGTACACTAATTTCTCCCCCTTTGTCGTCAATGACCATAAAGGTTCAAAGAGTAGGTAATACCATTTGTAGGGTCGAGATTATCAATGTCAATCAATGGGATGAGGATCATTTTCCCAAATTTGGTTCAAACTAGAATATTTGCCAAAGATATTTAACTCGGTTTGATCCAAGGACAAGCTTCTTCACACCTCCTAATAAGGGTTATCTTGTACCATGTTGAGTTAAACACTTAGAGCTCATTTTCTAGATTAAACACTAGGTTTACAAGCCTACAAACACGTCATATGCTATCACTAGATCAAGTCAAGCATAGAAGCAATAGTGATACCATATAAACATCAAATTCATTTGATTTTTCATGAATGAGCCTAATAAAATGGAGAGATGACTAGATGTACTAAACATGTCCTTAGCAATGATGTATGCCATGCCAATCAACTTTTACCTTGGATTGCTCGAAGGAGAGGCATGTCATATAAGTGGAGGTGCATCAACACATATTTGAGAAATCCAATATGTTCAACTCATTCCTTAGCTTGCAAAACCTTTTCTCATCCAATGGCTTGGTGAATATATCGGCAAGTTGATCTTCGGTGCCTACATTCTCAATGCAAATGTCCCCTTTTTGTTGGTGATCTCTTATGAAATGGTGGCGGACATCAATGTGCTTTGTTCTTGCATGTTCAATCGGATTGTTGGTCAACTCGATTGCACTCTCATTGTCACATAGCAAAGGCATTTTCTTGAACTTGATTTCAAAATCATTCAAGGTGGCCTTCATCCAAAGAATTTATGCACAACAACTACCGGCGGATATGTATTCGGCTTCGGCGGTTGATAATGCAACACTATTTTGCTTCTTTGATGACCATAAAACAAGTGATCTTCCCAACAATTGACATGTGCCTGAGGTGCTCTTCCTTTCAACCTTACATCCCGCATAATCCGAGTCGGAGTAACCAACTAGCTCAAACTTTGCTCCTTTGGGATACCACAAGCCAACATTTGGTGTATGCTTCAAGTACCTCAATATTCTCTTTGTAGCCTTTAAATGACTTTCTCTTGGTGAGGCTTGAAATCTTGCACACATGCATACACTAAACATGACATCCGGCCTTGATGCGGTCACATAGAGTAGGCTTCCAATCATAGACCGATACAACTTTTGATCCACCATATTTCCACTTGCATCACTATCCAAGTTGCCATTGGTTCCCATTGGTGTGCTAACGACTTTGCTATCACTCATGCCAAACTTCTTGATCATGTCCTTGATATACTTGCCTTGACTTACAAATGTACCATTCTTCAATTGCTTGATTTGAAGACTAAGGAAGTAACTTAACTCTCCAATCATGGACATCTCAAACTCATTAGCCATCATCTTTCCAAACTCATCACAAAAGTCTTGATTGGTTGATCTAAATATGATGTCATCAATATAGATTTGCAACACAAACAAATCTTTTCCAATTTTCTTGATGAAAAGAGTGGTGTCAACCTTGACCATTGTGAACCCTTTAGAGAGTAGGAAGTCACTCAATCTCTCATACCATGCTCTAGGTGCTTGCTTCAAGCCATACAATGCCTTCTTCAACTTATACACATGGTTGGGCTTCTTGTCATCTTCAAAACCGGGAGGTTGCTCAACATATACTTCTTCATTGATGTAGCCATTGAGAAATGCACTCTTAACATCCATTTGATAGAGCTTGATGTTGTGGGCACAAGCATAGGCTAGCAAGATTCTAATTGCTTCCAATCTAGCAACCGGGGCATATGTTTCTCCAAAGTCAAGACCTTCAACTTGTGTATAGCCTTGTGCTACCAATCTTGCTTTGTTCCTTACTACTATCCCATCTTGATCTTACTTGTTTCTAAAGACCCATTTGGTTCTAATCACATTGTGTCCCTTTGGTCTCTCTACTAATTCCCATACTTGATTTCTTGTGAAGTTATTCAATTCTTCATGCATAGCATTCACCCAATAAACATCCTTCAATGCTTCATCTATCTTCTTTGGTTTAATGGATGACACAAAAGAGAAATGCTCACAAAATGAAGCCAATCTTGATCTTGTTTGTACACATCTTGAAATATCACCAATGATAGTGTCCAATGGATGATGTCTTGCAATATTGGTTGGTTGGAGGATTGGAACTTGATTGCTTGCACTTGCTTGATTATTGGGTTGAGATGATGTACTAGTCACTTGATCTTGTTCATTGTCATGAGAGCCACTTGCACTAGCTTAATTTGTATCATCTTGCACACTTGAGTTAGAGAGCACTTGCACATGATCATCTTCATCATCATTCACTTGTCTAGGCCTCAATTCACCAATATC